TTTTTTTTTTTTTTTTTCTACTTATTGCGGGTCGTAGGCTTTACATCTTTTTTTAAATACCAGTTAGGATTCTCTTAACCTCCTTATTTAGGATAGTTCATAATGTTCACTACAAAAACTTAACCCATATTTAGATACAGATCTACTGAAGTGGAAGCTGGCAGCCCCCCACCCCATCTAACTCTATTCGTTTTTCCTTTAACCTCCAAGCCTTTAAAATTAGATTTCAATTTTGGTTTTATTGATTTCAAAGTTTATGTTATAACAATTGAAGTCTGGTAGGCTCCAGTAATAAAATATTGATGATTGTTCAAGACAGAGCTAATTTTGCTTAAAATTTGTGAGCTTTGGATGAAACTCCTAAATTTATTCTGAACCTTTGTCAAAACTGTTGAGATTGAATTGAAATTCTTGAAATCAGTATAAACAAAAAATTTAAGTTGGTTCCGCAGCAATTTTTGCTAAAATTGAGCTGAAGCCATCGAAATATACGACCATAATAATTTGCATGCCAACCCTACTCCCCATTCTCTCTCTGTCTCTCGTATTTCCTCTCATTGCCCCTCTTTTTGGTTTTACTTGTAGGAGAAAGTAGTTTTGACCAAGGGTATTTTGTTGTAATAAATATTGATTTGTTAAGCTTGCGGTTGAACTCTACGTTGGTAGGTTTGAAGAGCCTAATAGAGTCTGAAAACTTCACTATTGGACCAACAAAATTTAATTAGTATAGGGAGACTAAGGCTTCGTTTGGGACGGCTTTCTTACTGCTTCTTAAAATAGTTTTTTAGTAAAAAAATTTTTTACTCCAAAGCTGTTTTAAGAAGCAGTAAAAAAATCATTTCAAATGAAGCCTAAGTTAATACTTTTCAGTGCTGTTTTAGGGTATTCATACAATCAGTTCTAAGCCCCAAATAATTGATATATATATATATATATATGGAATTTTCTATTTGTAGGAGAAAATAATCTTCTTCTTTTTAATATTATTTTTATATTTATTGCTTTATACATCAGAAGGGAAAATGATCAAAATAGTCCATTAACTCTTTATGGATGACCAAAAAATCCCCAATTATATTAAAAGATCATTTTGGTCCCTTAAGTCTTTAAAAAGGAATCGAAATAGTCTCAGGATGAGATTATTTTGATTCTCTTTAAAGAGTTGTGATATCAAAATAATCTTTTAATATAATTAAGGAACATTTTAACCTTTCATAAAGAGTCAATAGATCATTTTGATCCTTTTTTTTCTACCCTTTTGATTGTGGTTCACATTACAAGACTTAAATACTCTTATCAAATTTGTTTGGGAGGACTATCTATTCATCAAACTTGATTCTTTTGAAAATTCTATTTTATCTTCATATTTACTCAATCAAACTTATCCCAATCACATCAGTTCATTTGACCTCTTTGAAAATGCAAGCAGGAAGGCGTCTTACAGGATCTACTGAGAGTCGTAAGCCATCACCGGGCCAGGCTCGCAACACCAATTCGCACAGTTCACAAAATATACGGCGACACCGCCCTCGACAACATCCCTTATGCAGAAACCATCCTCACTCGCGCTGCTGCAACCGACCGTCCATTCCTTCTAGTAGAGCCTGCTTCAAGAATCAACGGGGACGAAAAGACTAAGCCTCGTCCAACAGGTAAACCAAGTGAAGATCATACAACAAAGGCCACCACGAAGCCTTCTTTTGAAGATAACATTGTACTTGGTGTAGCTCTTGAAGGCTCGAGGAGAACACTGGCTATTGAGGAAGTGAAAGAGGAGTTTCCTGGTACTGTGGATGTACAGGAAGTAGGGGCGGCTTCTTCTAATGCTAATAGACCTTCTTCTTCTTCTTCTTCTTCTACTGTCAAAGATAAGAACAATGAAGTGTCCAGTAAGGACAGACTATAAAACTTTATTTACTTATGGTAGTATGATTGATGCCTGCCTTGTTTTCTGGGGTGGATGAAATTGGGTCATTGGAGCTAGTGTGTCAATTTGGGTCAATGGGTTGGGATTGGGTCGAATTCGGAACTGATCCGACACTATTCGGGTCAAACCTAACCCAACCCGTTTTAAAAAACGGGTCAGGTTTTCGGACCGAACACGCCTGATTCGGGTCCGGGTCAAACCGACCCGACACGAATGAACTGAAGTTGACCCAAAATTGTTAGTTTTCGGGTAAAAAATTGGGTCAATCTTCAATTTTCGGTTAAAAAACGGGTTAATCTAGGGTTTTTGGGTCAAAAACAAGTTTTCGTGTCAATTTTGGGTTACTAGATTAACCTGAATCCGACCTAATTTTTAAAATGGGTTGATTTGTTAAACCTGAACCCGACCCATTTCGGGTTTGAGTTGACCCTAACCCAGATTTTTTTAGGTCGGATTCGGGCCGTGTAAAAATTGACACCCCTAATTGGAGCCGGGGATTATATGGTTGATTGCCTACCATGGTTTTTGTTAAATTTTCTTAGCATAGAGGACACTTTTTGACTGATTGGACACCATCAATGAGTGCTATATAGAGAGAGGGAGATGACTTTTTTTTTTCACTCCTATCAATTAGGAGAAATTATTCTGTGTGGTGACTGAGCAATTAGAACCGTTCGGATTTGTTGCTCTTTAGTTGTCCTTTTTATTGCGCTTTTATAAATATTCAATAAAAGTGCAGCAAATATATAATTATGAATGTCAATTTGTTAAAAAAGGCAAAGCGTTACAAATATCCTACTAATTGAATATTTGTTGCCTTTTGTTGTGCTTTTGTAAATACTTGACAAAAGGGCAATAAATATTCATCATAATTACATATTTGTTGTCATTTTGCTAAGTATTTGTAAAAGCGCAACAAAATGTTGTTAAAGTGCAGTAAATTCGGATGATTCTTGTCGTCCGGTCTCTGTATAGAATAATTTCTCGTTAATTAGGGTACTCCAACGTCCAACCGAAAAACTTATTTTCACTCCAGAATGCAGTCAATTATGTGCAACCAGATTTATTTCATAACTCAAATAAATATTTTGAGTATATTCTTTCTCCAACAGGAAGAAAAATGACGTTTGTGAACAATGCGATGTTAATATTGCCGTCGCTGTTCATCTCGTGAAAATATTGTTGAATTTTACGTTCGGTTGGAGCTCGCGGCGGATGACAAACACTGATTTCACTATTAGTTGGAGATGACCTTAGAGATCAAAATTTACACGCTATTCTCCCATTGCAACATACAACCAACTAAATTATGGCATTAAATGCAAGTAGCTCTCTGGCATTCTTCGCCATCTCTCCACCTGTAAGAATATATGATACGCCAACTTCACATGATCACGGCAATAGAGAAGTTCCAGCGTATCACTACATGAAGCAGCAGAAGCGTGACACGTCTCCCTCTTAAAAATTCTATATTATATGATTATAAATTATAAATATGATTGACCAAACTAATATACATTATTTTGAGAGGTAACATTTGATTTTTTTTTATATAAATATTTTAAATTTAATTTTATTTAATAAATAAGTATTACATTTATTTTTTATGAATTGGTCTAAATATATCACAAGAGATAATTTTGATTTAAAAAAAAATGGAACTATTTTTTGAATGGTACTTAACTATGAAAATATTTATATAATAGAACCGTCAATAAATGGCCCATGAATTTGTCCCAAAAAAATTTGAGATCATATTGACTCGTTTGATAAATGGTTGGTTTTTTTGACCTATTCATTAAATGAGTTGGGTTTGAGTTGACTCATGAATTTGGATTAATTGAATTTGGATTAGATCAATTTCAAGTTGAACACGAATTTGAGTTGACTCTGTAAGACTTTATAGAGTTATCTAACTCTTTGCATAAACTCGCATCATAATTTATGTAAAAGAATTCGAAACGAAAAAACTTGATTTTACATAAGTCTTAAATCCTCAAGATCTTAAGTGATTTGTTTAAAATTTTTTTCTTGTAGGTACTATCCAATTTTTTAATCTTTTTTTTTTAAAATATATAGTTACCTAGTTAAAAAGTTAACCAAAAATGTTGGTTGACCCTGGCTTTTTCAATGACAAAATCAACTCTCGCTCTTTCCTTGATGCCTTGTTTAGGGATGCACCATCGATTTCTTCTGCAGATCTTAAAACCTCCACTTTTAGGGGGATTCCTTCTCTGTGGATTTCTGAGAATGAAGTGTTAGCTCTTGATGCCCCTTTTGCTTTCTCTCTTATTGGCTATTTCCCTAATAGTAGGCCATCTTTGGATATGATTAGGAAGTTTTTCTTTAAATTGGAATTGACTGGTGAGTTCTCAATTACCTTGCTGGATTCTCATCATGTTATAATAAAATTGCGTTGTGACATGGATTATTGGAGAGTTTTTGCTCACCAATCTTATTTTGTTAGTAACTATTTTATGAAATTGATTAAGTGGTCTCCCGTTGTGGACATTGCGGAAGAATCCCACATTGTTCCGGTGTTGATCTCTTTCCCAAACTTTCACCCTCATTTTTTTGCTCCCAATATTCTTCACGGCTTCGGCTCCATATTTGGTCGTCCCCTTCGCATTGATACTGCCATTGCGGTGAGCTCTCGTTCATTGATTGGGGAAGTGTTGGTGGAGCTTGATATCATGAAACGATATCCTAATAGTGTTTGGATAGGCCAAAAAATTTGGTTATGTTCAAAGTTTTGTGATGGAAGAGTTTCTATCCTTTTGTAAGCATTGCAAATCTTTAGGTCATGGTATAAAAGAATGTGCTCGGCTTCATCCTCAATTAATTAAGGAGCCTTCGTTGTCTAGGGATAATCATATCATTGCTGTCTGTAAGTTGGACTTGCACTTAGTTAATCCTACTGTTGATTTGGGTGATAGGCCTTCTAATGGAGTGCATGATAATCTCCAAGGCAATGCTTGTGTTGACTTAACTTTGGTTGATAATGCAGATGTTGTTGTTGTGGGTCTTTTGGAAAATGAATGTATGCATTTGCGCACCTTTTGGGTGGAGCGTTCTTCCAAACCTGTCGATTTGGGTGCTATGGACATTGATAACATCAATTCAGTTCCTACTGATTGTCAGCCTCCTACTTCACCTACTATTGGTGAGTAGAAAATTTGTCTTTTAAATTTGACATTGTTGAATGGATCTTCTTCTACTGCTAATGTTGAGTCCCCTCACTCTTTCTCTATAAGGAGTTATCACTTAATACTACAAAACCAAATGAATATGCATCCTTCATAGATGTACCAACTCCCTTATTTCAAACAAAGACTTGAAAGCTCAATTGTCGTGGAATTTGAAGTATCCCTCTTTGGATCTCTCGGACGACTTGGATAAGGCTGCTTCCTCACCTTGTGAGAGTCTTGGGGATGAATTTGATGATTCGATGGATAAAATGTATAGTTTGAATGTTAGTAGGATCCTTGAAAACGTTTTTTAGTTGTAGAGGTGGAAAATGAGGTCGGAGAAAAGCAAAAAAGATAGTAAATGGTTCGGTTGCTGGTTGGAGCTTATTTTTTAATGGGGTCTGTTGTTGTTGGTCCCCCTTACTCTTTTTTCCTGATTACTATGCTGGATAGATTTTGGCCAGTGGGGTTGTTGGTCTGGTGTATTATGTTTTGGCTTGTTTGGGTTTGCTTATGGTTGTGGGGGCTCCTCTCATGGGATTGTGGGATGTTGTCTTTTGTTATGCGAACAATGATGAGTTAGTTTTCATGTACGCCCCATGAATGGCCTGGGCTTGTTTTAGCAATCTTGGTTGTTGATTCATCTTCTTGGTCTTTGATGTGTACTTGGAACTTCTTGTTGATGTTTCTGTTCCTCCAATGAACGGTCCAAGCTTGGCAACTCGGTGGCGATCTGTGTCTGATTGGCTTCATGACCTCTTTTAATTTCTCTAATTTTGGATTACTTCTCTTTTTTCATATTGCAGTGCAATATGTCGCTTATTATGATAATTTAGATGTTGTTATTTCGTGCTTTGACTTCTTTTGATCTTTATTTGTAAGTCTTTTTTCTTTAGTGGAGTAAAATTGTTGTTTGTTAAAAAAAAAACTTTAATCTATCATTTTAATGTTTTTCAATATCTCTTTAAACTATCAACTTTTGATCATCATTTATTTATTAATTTATATCACTTTATGAATGTTCAGCAATAAATCACAAAATATATGCCACAAATCTGTGATCTTAGAGAAACATACACAATACTCAAATTTAGGACCTCTTAGTTAATAGTCAAAAATTCTAACCAACAGATCAAATTAAGTTGCGTTAAAATTCTTATATTTATATATTGTATATATATCTTTTGCTTGTTTCATTGATAGCTTTAAAGTAGGGCATAGGTTGTTGAATAAATAAGATCCATCTTATTTTCACTCTTTAGGTTCTCCTTTGAAAATGTTTCAATGCTCAACTAATTAGATACCACTTTTTTAAAAGCATCCAAAAGTACTTTCTACCACTTTTAATAAAAAGCATAAAAAACTTCCAATGCTTGCGGTCTTAAAATCGCTTTTGATTGAGCTCAGCTCATTCAGGACAAGAAATTAAAGCCTATAACTTTCCACAAATAAAAGAAAGTAGTCCTAATTACCATTCATTATAGGAAGTAGATAATCTACCTATCCTCATAGCTTTTAATCTGCACTATTATTAGTTTTTTTTTTCATTTGGTTGGAGACTGAAAGTTTGGTTTTCTCTCAGCTTTCATTATTTTTCTTAATTAACCGCCAATGTGGTTGTGATTAATTAATTCCCTTTTCAGGATTAACAAATTGGCAACTTTCATTTCACATTAATTAAAAATGATTACTTAAATCTCTTTTTAATTCAAATAAATGCTTTTTTAGAGTTTGTTTGGGATAGCTTTTAGTAGGGGTGTCAATTTTTTACCCGACCTAAAACTCGACCCAGACCCGACCCTAAAAAATCCGGGTTCGGGTCGATCCGTTTGTGAAACGGGCCGGGTTCTGGTTCAATAAACTAAGCCGTTTCAAAAAATGGGTCGGGTTCGGGTAGACCAGGCAACCCGAAATTTCTCTGCCCGGATCTGCTGCCCGCCCTACCCCATGCGTCAGCTGTCAAGTTGAGTGAGTCCCGAACTCCGAAGCGGCCAGTCTCGCGCCTCCCGAACGGTCGAACCCGAAGTCTCGCGGTGCTCGTCCCGATTCCGAACGGCCAGTCGCGTCACGGGTGAGTCTCGCGGTGCGCGTCCGAACGCGGAACCGGCGAACGCGGCATCAACGCCGTCGAGTCGGCGTTCGCTGGAGAAAATCGCGTTGGCTGCTGGCTGGCGGCAGCTGGCGCTACGTGCGTGCACTGCTGTCGCTGGCTGCCGCCGCTGCCTGCGCCGCCGGTAGTAACTACCAGAAACCAGCGTTTGAGATTTATTTCCGGGTCGGGTGTGTCAACCCGGCAACCCGCGCGGGTCGGGTTCGGGTTGACCCGTTTAGAGCCAGGTCAATTCAGATTCGACCCGAACCGACCCGTTGACCCGAATTGACACCCCTAGCTTTTAGGCTTCATTTGTGATGTCTTTCTTATGATTTTCTGAACAGTTTTCTAGTACAACTTTTTTTGTTTAGTAAATTTATACAAAATTGTTTTAAAAGCAGTAAAAAACCAATTCCCAAACGAAGGCTTGTTGTCTTTATTTTTCAAATAGATACCATAAATTCATTTGACTGTTATTTTCTCCAGTGCCTTTTATAAATTTTTGTTATGAAAAGTTATATTTTGCAATCAAAATAATTGAGTTTTTTTCACACAATAATTTCATAACTAATTTTATAAAATGTCTCAGTCTTCTTTAATAGGGCTATTAAAGTTGTTAAACTTGTAATAAAAAAAAAACGAGAAAATAATAGTCAAACATAACTATAAATGCGAAATAAAAAATAAAATAGTAAAAAAGAGTCCAACCCGACCTTATGAATAACACTAAGAGAAAACAGTTAATATGGATGCACTAATGCTAAAATATTTTAATCAATTTTAAATAAAAAAAACTCTAAGTCCTTAAATTTTATTTTGTAGTGAGTGCAAAAAATCAATTTACATGAAAATTATTCTGAAAATATTATTTTTTTATACAAAATTCTAAATTATTTTTATAAAGTAATCCTACTCAAAATAAATTTTCAAACTTTGTTATAACTTGCAAGAGGCAAACGAACGAATAATTCCTAAAAAATTGTCTTAGTTGTAAATCAACATAGTGGTACAAAAGAAAGTGTTTTTGCTTGAAATTTGAATTATTTTAAAAATATATTTTTAAGTCGCCAAATTAGATTTTTAACTAACTACTCAAATACCTTAATCATAAATTAGAATGGCCGTGCAAGACTTAATGCTGATGTGTGTTAGCTTAAAAATAATTAATTACAGAGAAAAGGAGACTGACGGTCTAATTTGGCAGTACGACTTCACAATTTAATATTTTTGAGAGAAAAATTTAAGTCAAATTGGTGATTTGAGGCTCGAGGTTGATTGTATTTACTATTTATTTTAAATATATATATGATAATAAAATTAATTAATTAATTATGTTTTTTGTTTATTAATATAATAAATTTAATATTTTTAAATTTTATATATTAATTATAGATAAGGATATCTTGATTTTTTTAATATTTAGAAAAAGAGTTTCTTACGAAATATTTTTTAGTTGTTTCACGAAAAAGAAATCATTTACCCATGCTAAATAATTCTTTAATTTTTTTAAGAATATTAATTTAATAATTAATACAAATTTATTTAAGAAAAAATAAGGGTTTATAAGTCTTATTACATATGTAATTGGAGAAATATCATTATTATTTAACCGTTTATTCGTAGACTACTCAATGGATTGGAACAATTTGACTCCAAACCTAACTAAAACTTCGATTTGAATTAGGTTTCAAATGCATTCAAACTCGTTTCATTTATTACCTTTTCGCACGGGATAATTGAGGGAAGGCATCTATCGCAGTGACGTCATGAAATTCATGAACATAGCTCAATATGGGTGAGCATATATTGGTTTAAAAAAATGGCGGAAAACGGTTAAGCCCGCCCGCCCCCACCCCCCCGGGGGAATTTTATTTTGTGGCACCAACTGACATTTTTTCTATGCAATTTGTCTGTCCGAAAATCAGAAAGCCTTTTGGCCTCAAATTATTTTCATCCGATTATGTTAAACTTTTCTAACACTAACAAACAAGTCTGTGAAATGTGCTTATGTGCATAATAAATTAATTTTGCACATTTATATATATTTTTATAAGTTTATCACTTGCCTTCTTGAAAACTAAGACTGATTTCGCTCCTTATTTGAACATGATCGAACTATGCTCAAACGAGCATCAAATTCAAATGAGTTCTTACTCAAGTGATAGAATAGGCTAACATTTACATTAATGTTAGTGAGGACATTTCTATAAATATTTTGTTAAGAAATTTTTTTTTTTTAAAATGTTTTGAATGCTTACTATTTTTTGAAATTTTTTATAAAAAACACAGCAATGTGGAGTTTTTCAAAGATCAGTGTTAATTTAAAAATAATTGCGTGGTTTTTAAATATATTTTTATATGGAATTATGTTGGGCCGTGAAGAAATATTTAATGGAGGCATTATTTTAAAACTAGGCATGTTGATGTGGCTAATTTGTAGGTGCCAAACGTGTTGAATGGTGAGAGACACAACTTCTTTTGTTTTGCTTACACGAATATATTACTAAAAAAATAAAATAATAAAAACTTAAACAATTCAAATTGTTTTAAATAAAATACAGTTTTTCCATATATATATTATAACAATCTCTTAAATAAATTTATATGCATTATAATATTTGAAATTAAAGAAATATGAATTTTTTTTTTATTGTTTGAAGAAAAAATTTACTAAAATTCATTTCAATTAAGCGGCTGTTGAAAAATATATGCGGGTTATTACTGAAGCTGTTCTTGAAAAATATAATTTGAATTAATTCAAATTCAAATCTTATACTATATAATAATGTTATCCTATTTCGAACCTCTTAAAACTTGGTTTAAACAAAAGTCAAAGAAATTTGCTGGAGCATGAATGATTATGTCGTGGAATATTCGCGGCGATAGAGAGTGATATAGTTTAGCGTCTTAGTTTTGTTTGAAGTTTCAGCACACAAATAAATAAGAGAGTGTGGTTATAGCATTTATAAGAGATACCATAATTTTATTATGGAATGATGGAAACCCCTGAAAAAGAGAAAAACCATGAGGTCTGACCCAGTTTGAAAGAATTCATTAGTATTTACAATTGATTACAACTAAGGCCCTTCCTTAGGCGGAAGGTCTTGACTTGATGTAGGAAATATGCATCAGATATAGTGCATTATATGGTGGGAGTTGGAAGAATTAGTGTTGATATGTTTGTTTGGGTGGCAGGACTATAGTCGACAAGCGATATAGGTTGAAAGGACTGTAGTCGAATGACGGTGGTCTGCAGGATAGTAGTCGGGCGAAGGAGACAGGAAACGGTGGTCGAAAGAACTGTAGTTGGCGGGCATCGGTGGTCGAAAGTATAGTAGTTGGTGGGCGATGGTGGTCGGAAAGATCGTAGTCGACGGGCGATGGTGATCGAAGGATCGTAGTCGGCGGGCGATGGTGGTCGGAAAGATTATAGTCGGTGGGAGATGGATGTCAGAAGGACTGTAGTTGACGATGGTGGTTGGAAGGACCATAGTCGATGGGTGACTCGACTATGGTCGATAGGATCGTAGTTGGGCGATGATAGTCAGAAGGACTGTAGGTGATCGACGATT